TATATATATATATATATATATATATATAAAGCTTTTATTTTGAAATTGAAAAGAGACCCGGTTCCACTAGCGTTGGTGCCTTGGCAGACATTTGTTACACCAGGAGAGTTTTCTGAACAGAGCGGATGGACTCTGATCATGTTGACCAGGATGGGACCATAGTGTTAGTAGTGAACTGGGGTTTGAATAATCAATAAATAATAATAATAATAATAATAATAACTAGAAGAAGAAGAACTGATAGATAAACCAGCAGCTTTCTATTTATTTTTCTCTATTAGTGAGCTTCAATATTTTGTTGTTCTAATGCTCAGATTGATTATGGCTGCAGATTAAGTAAGAACAGAGTTTGTTGTTCCACAAAGGTCCAGAAAATTTCATGTATTGTTTATTTCTATAGAGCTAATTCACACTGCTTCATCTCAGGTTACTTTATAGATCCAGATCAACCAGATCATCAAGTCAGATTGGCTCCGCTGGTTGCCGCAGTCCACTCAACATAACATTAAATTACGCATTAAAATCGGTAAACGGGCCATATAGCAAAGCTTAAAATATAATATTCCCGCCTCAAATGATCTTTAAACTTACTTTTATTGAACAACAGCAACAGAAAAGAGAACTTTTAGCTTAATACTCTGAGCTCTGTGAGCGCTAACCTGGAAGCTGCTGCTGCTGCAGTGCATGCTGGGACAGCTGTCAGTCTGCAGAACAGAAAAGTCTGCTCTGATGCATGCTGGGTAAAGAGGGAGGGGCCAGAACAACCTCCGGGGACTTTGTCTGTTTTCTTTCTTCTTGTTCTAGTGAATTTGAACAGCAATAGGGCTGAGGCTGATGACGTCTCACGAGCACACGAGAATGTACAGGTACACAGACTGAGAAACGGCCCTCAAACAGAACCAGAACCAGGCTCAGTGTGAGCGGCCATCTACTGAGGCCCCCTGCGGCTTAAAGAGACAGAAGCAGACATAGAAAATGGATCCAGTCTGAAGAGGTCGTCTTTCACTCTGACACAGAAAGCAGCCGACGCCTCTCGACTCTTCACAAACTGCATCCAGTGGAACCAAGGGGTTAAAGGCATTGAACTCACCGGCAGAGATCCCACCGGGTACCGCTGGGACACCATAGTCAGAAGCTGTTCAGAGGACCGGGACACATGGTTGTGGTCCAAAACAAGGTCCTCCTCCTCTTCATCTTGACTGGACACGTGGAACAGAGACCCAGAGATGGACGTCTGTGGCCAGTTACCTGAATGGGTGTAAAAGCCATTAGTACCTGGAAGAGAACACCCTGAACACAACATCCCAACAAGGCAGTGACCTAATGGTCCAGCGGCGTTTTAAAAGTTTAAAAACCTCAACCTCAGACCCACAGTGGAGGTACTCCTTACAAATGACCGATTACTGCAGTAATGCAGTAGAACGCCCTGAAGA